AATAACTTATCAAGTTATGGTTCATAACCAGACAAATTATAGATGAAAATAATAATTTGATATATTTATTAACTTATGTAAACTATTAACCTGTTAATTTTAATTCATCTCAAATTTTAACATATTTCTCTCTTTCTCCCTATTTCTTAAAGACCAACTCAGGGATATGTGACGAATCAGCTTGTACCTAATTGGGCCTAAAGTGCAAAAGAAGCTAGGTTGGGCTGATATTGGGCCTAAAGTTCAAAAATGAATCGCTCTTTACGGGAACACCGCAAAACCAGGGCTTGACTTATACTCAAAAAAAAAAATATATATATATATATATATTTGCAAAAAATACCAGTCACTTCAGCCTAGAATACCAAACATATCTTTAATATACCAGTCGGTATCTACGGCCATACCTGTTGGTATCCGCTACTGGTCGATGATTATCGATCGGTAGCCACCGTGATAACGAGCAATGACTCCTAGTATCCAACAATAATACCACTTGTATCTGACTGTAGTACTGAAAAACCTGATAGCATTGTTTTCACTAAATGCTACGAAATTATCACAATCCACCAAAAACAATAAGGGTCTATTTGGTTCATAGGTTCAAACCAGTGGTTTTGATTTTAACTTTTGAAATTTAAGTTTTTTGTGAGTGAAAAACATTGTAACAGAACTAAAGAATCATGATTTGAATCATGCGGAACCCTTAAAATAAACACATCCTAAAAATCAGTCACTAATAATAAAGAAACAAATACAAAATTAACATAAAGAAAAAAAAGTTTCCTTCATTGTGGGACGAATTACAAATTTAACGAACTTACAAAGTCTATACAAGATTACAATAACACTATACAAAGTAAATAAATATTTACAAATTACAATAATAAAATTTAATTTGAAGCAGAATGATCGTCTTGAAAATTAAAAGTTAATCTATTAAATTTATCGATCCATTCTTGGCTTGCCGGTGAGATTGTATCGTGTAAGCGTTGGTCGGAACGATCCCAATCCTTGATGCACACCAAAGCTTCAACAATATCCTGTTGCAATGTGTTTCCCGTTCTTCAAGTATTCGGCCGGTTGTACTGAATGCTTGTTCGGCTGCAACAGTGGAGACTGGGATCGAAAAAATACCCATTGCCAGTCGTGTTAGGATCGGCCAAGTTAATGCTCGTGCCCTCCACTACTGAACCAAATCAAACATTTCACTATTGTCTACAACTAAGCACTCACTCAGGTACGCCATTAACTCGTTGAAGCCGCCGATGTTGCCGCCACCTCTTGATGAAGATCCACACTCCCAGATTCTTCTTGACCTTGAGTCGTCGTCGTCGTCTTCTTCTTCTTTTTAGACAACCCAAAAACTTAAATCATTTTCAAAAAGTTATATTGCTTTAGTATTTGCAGTTGCATTATCTAATGTTATGTCCATTACTCTATCTTTTAAACTATGTTCATCAATGACAGATAAAATTGTGTATCGTCGTCTTCTTCTTCTTTTTAGACAACCCGAAAACTTAAATCATTTTCAAAAAGTTATATTGCTTTAGTATTTGCAGTTGCATTATCTAATGTTATGTCCATTACTCTATCTTTTAAACTATGTTCATCAATGACAGATAAAATTGTGTTATATATTAAATTGGCAGTATGTGATCCTATAACACATTTAAAACCTAATATTCTCTTATCTAAATCAAAACCTTTATAATAATGTTCGGTTACAGCTAAATAATCTTTGTTGGCAACGGCGGACTAAATATTCACCGTTAACGCAACGCAACTACTAGTAGAGTGTAAAAGGTTGATTAATACTTCCTTTTCTTGTTTATAT